TGTGTTTTTATTTTTTATTTTTTCTGTCTGTCATCACGTTTTGGGACAGTAAAAGTGCTTCGATTTAAAAAAGTTCTTAATACTTTTTTAAATAATCGAGAAAAACAAACTAAAAATTAAGGGAAAAATGGGAAATTTTACGCACACTCATTTTTCGACAAAATCGATTTTGGTTTTTGGTATCATAATTATCATAAAAAGTCATATCTCCCCCCCCCCATGACAAAAACCTAAATACGCCACTGGACGTAAATGTTACCTAGATAGGTTTTTTATATGGGCCAATAATTACTCAAACATGTGCATTGGTTCAGTAGCACCGATCACCCAATTTATGTATGACATATGACATAGGAAATTTTTTAGATTGGGGATARGTACTGAGTGTAAAGTTTAAACTTAAAAATATACGATTACGATTGAAGTTACATTACTTGTTTGTAGATGCTTTGATTTGTATCTGATGGTTAGCTTATAACAATAGAGGAAATGGTGGGGGCCCCTTGATGTACGATGTCATAGCATTATGTTTATTTCCTATCGACAAATAAATACAAATTTTCCATTTTTCAGACAGATTTTGTATAGTACAATATACAAATATAGTATAGGTACTCATAATTATAAATTTATATCATAAGACGTTACAATGAGAACAAAAGATTCAAATATCGTCAAATTGTTTAATACTACTTCAACGAAGGTCGAACGTTCAATAAAATTCTAATGAGTATCTAATGATTAGGTACCAACAATCAGCCCTGAATCACACAGTAGGTACACAAAAACGATTTGAAATTATTTTCTAACTATAATTTATTAATGGGTACCTAATAGACAATAGTAAGTATAATAATTTTATAAATTTTAAATCGCTAGGGTCACATAGTATGGATGAAACACGATTGTGGACGCTTTACCTTTTTTGCAACACGATTGCGGATGATCACTATATGACAAAAGGTATTATTTTGCACCCAAAAAATGACWCGACTCCAGAAGAAATTTAGTGAAACGTTACCAAGTTGTGAGACGCAAAATAGCCTAACGACTATCAATTTAATGACCGGCTTTTCGTTAGGATGTCTAGTGTACATCGACTACTACACGGTTTAAGATATATATCTACATAATTACTTAAAAAATATTTAGAATACTAATGATAATACAAATACATAATATGATTATTGATAATAATTTAGAATGACGTTGGCATCGTATTTCTATAAATTCTACAATAGTATATGATTATAAAAAAAAGTTAAAAATCAAAAATTAAAGTGTTATAAGTAGGTATTGTATAAATTAAAATACTATAAGGGTTTACTGTACACGTTCATAAAAGTCCACGATATTTATACAATTACAAAAGAACGTAAAAGAGTTAACATTTTAAAATTAAAAAAGCAACATTTAAATTTTTTTCCTCTGTAAGAATTTTAATACGCTCAGAATGTCCATTATCACATTATCGAAGTATTATTTATAAATTTGTCAACATACTTTTAAAGATATATTTGGGATCACTAGAGTGTTTTATTCAATGATTTTAGCACTTCTGACTATTGGGACACTAGTAAAACACTAAYGACTACAATGGAAAATATTATATTATATTATATTATCTTCATAGCAATATCAAGTAAAATGATTTTATCATTATTTTATTTGTTAGTGCATWTTTTTTCTTCACAAATAATATTGTAAAAACCTCAGGAGCATGCTTAAGAGGGAAAGGGTGACCCTATGACTTATTTTTGTCATATAAGATACACGATTAAGCTAAGAAAGTATATTACTCTCCAAATAACGTGATCTGATGCTTCACTTTCAAAAAAATTCAAMACGTCACAGAACAATCTAAATTTAAGAACAATTAACATTAGACAATGGTTGGAACACAGAATGAGAGAGAAACTGAGAGGAGTAGACCTAGGGATTTTATAGAATATAAAGGTATAATAATAGAAATAATTACACTAACAAATATATATAATATATATATTATACATATACATACATACATATATACGATTATTTTATTTTTAAATTTTTTTATAACTAGAATAATTTAATTTTTTTCCCATGGTAGAAAAAGGAGACTGTAACACAGCGTTCACAAACACTGGACACTTATACACATATTAATAAAATGCACGTTTGTATACAAAACTAATTAACAGCGCGCGTTACGTCGTCAAAATTAAACAAGAACAAGATAACTGAATACATAATAATATCTCCGACACATATATATATAATAATAATTCATACAAAATGCAACGTACGTAAATAATTATCTTAGTCCTGACTGCATGCATACATAGATATTAAAATTCTATTACAAACGATACATTGGAAAAAAAATGCACTCAACGGCTGATGGACAGATTGTAGAAAAAACTGCATCTTATTGCCTAACATCCCCCCTCCAAAAAAAAAAAAATAAAAAATATCAAAATAATATATACTCCTGTTGTGTCCGGGTGAGGCTGTCGTGGTTTTTTCCCAGCGTTTTACTTAGCTCTTTCTCGGTCTTAATTTATATATTTTTTACTTTTTCTTTAATATTATATATATTTGTTATTTTTATTTAAATTTTTTACAGTCGGCTTACCTACCAGTGGTGTTATGGAAATAAAGTTTATAAATCATTATKTATATTTTAATTATTATTATTCGTTTATTTAAATTTTTTTACTAACCCTTTCACCAAACTATTCTATGATAAGTTTTGAAATAAAAATTTTATTTTAAAAGAAAAAATATAAAGCGTACAATAATTCTATAAATATTAAAATGCTAATTTTTGTGTTACTTTATTTACGGCATATGGGTGATCTAAATACATACACAAACATATACTATTTATTCTTAAGTTTTGTTTTTATCTWATGACTTGAATGCCTCAAAATGTGATGGAGATGAAATTTATTCAGAACTTAATGCAATAATCAATTCACATAAATCAACATGTGTAATTTAAATTATGCACTTTGTTGCTTTAAATAGAAACAATAATTTTAATATTTTGTGTAAAAAGTATAAGTATTTTTTTTTTTTAATAAAAAATTAAAATCAACAAATTAATAGGTAAATTATTGTTAATCAATTGGATATTCTTGTCATAAGCTTGTACTTTTATGTATATATATATATAGTTCTAATGAAATAATTTTACAAGCTTTAAAATATAAATAGTAGACACAAATAAAAAATATTGTATATGCGTTCATGTCATACAGTGATTATTTTGTCCAAGAAAAAAATAAAGCCCAAAAATGAGATTAACTATAAAAATGAAGCACTCAAAGATATAATAATAATAAATAAAAATAATAAAACTAAAGACGAGCACAATAAAGTTATTTTCATTATTATCTTGTAATATTGATTTTAGGTTAAATATAAAATAAATGACGTTATTTTCACAATTTAAAATTGCCAAAAAAAATTAAATAATAAATGGTTTATTATATAGTTCTAAAATACACATAAATATTGAATAATCCAATTTTTTTTTTTTGTTTTTTTTTATTTTTCTTTAAGTTGTAGAATATGTATAATTATTGTAAACAGGGATAGGTGGAAATTCAGCAGTAGTAAATAAAAACCCCATTTACATTTTTGTATAATTAATATAAAATTGTTATCATATCAATCAGCCGTTTTAATTTCTAGTACAACTAATATAAATATGTTGATATCATAAAATATGATAAAATCTGTAATGGTTCAAAATATAAATGGCCATTTGTACGGATTTAACTACTATTTCAAGTACAAAATGAATGTATAGTTATAAATTTAAAACGAAATAATAGATATGGGAGGAAATGTGCCCACAAATCTACTAATGCCTATCCTATAATAGTAATAAAAATAATTAATTAACTTTCAATTATTCTGTATATTTAATTAAATTTTTTTTACATATTCAAATGCCCATGAAGTTGCGTTAATAATAATAATGATAATAATAATTAGTGTTTCACAACATTTTTATAACCGAAAAAAATGTGAATTCAATAATTGTTTAAAATTCCCCCAGTAACCGAGCTATGTATAATGAATCTTTGGTTAAGCGCTTTGTAAAGCTTGGGGTTGCTTGGTCAGAGCATTCTTGTTCTAATAATTTAAATATAACAATAAAACTGAATAGAAACTATTGTGTAGTGTATAAATTACAAAAAAATATTCTATTGATGTGAATCACAATGTTTAAGTCACAGACWGTTATTTTGAATTATAATTTTATAATTGTATAATGCCCATAATAAATTGAGTATGTTTTGATTATTATGTATGTTAGTCTAGAACAAGATGCTAGAGACAAAATTGTTAAATGTCAACAATATGTATTTTGTATATTATTTTTTTATAATTAAATATAGTATAACAAATATTTTATGGACTAGACCTCCTACTAGTCCATTTAGAAATGCTACTGTGGCATTGTTTAATTTTTGTAAGTGGGGGATGGATGGATTATCGCTAAATTTGTAGCAAGGTCAATGTTTTAACCTAGTAAAGAGCAAAAAAAAAAGTTATAATAGATTGCGTATTATTTAAGTTGTTTTTATGGGAGAAGATGTTAAATGAGAAAAATGTTTTAATTTAGAGGGGTATTGTAACTTAGTTTGAAATTTTGTATCTCCATTTTCTATGTAACCCTCCTGGGAAGGGAGAGCTACATCCTACCATAGTAATTTTTTTTTTTTATATAAAATTTTTATAAATATATAAATATATATATAATATATACTTTTTAAATATAAAAAAAAATTAACAAAAAAAAATTAATAAATTAAAAATTAAATAACTTTTAACAATTTATCAAAAATAAATTTAAGGAAAAAAAAGGTATTTTTTTTTTCAAAATTTTGTCTCCCTCTCTTTTTTAATTAAAAAAAAAATCCCTAACTTTAATCATGTATAAAAAGAGCCGATTGTTAAAGGTAGATAGAGACAAAAACCGTCTCAATCTGTACCATAACAATCATTTGTACTCTTGGTCACGCAATCAGTCACATCCCCTCCTTTGACCTATAAGGTCAACAGTAGCTCTTGATTTGGTGTGAGGAAGACAGCCATTAGTTTCAGTAGCAAATAAACCGACAACAATAATATATCATGCAAATATCATTATTTGTAATGTAGAAATCTTTAACGTCGGTGGAGGAGATATATTTGCCAGGAACTAATGGTAACTGTCATCAACTCACTGTTGTGGTGTTTCTGTGGGTCTGCTGTTGCGTTGTTGTGGACGTGGCACTGGATTTGCTCCAGATGCAACCATCGATCGGATTCTTCTTTGAGCCGACTAAGAATTTAAACATAAGCATATTAATAATAATTTTTATTAAAAWAKCATTAAAAATATAGTTATAGATTATTTACTTGTGTAGCCAAAAAATGACCAATAATGTGTACTGTGGTAGTATCTTCAGTGCCATCAGTTGATCCTTGTGTAGGTAGTTTAATTATAGATCCAGTTACTCGTTGCAATTCTCTAACATTAGATCCACCTCGACCAATTATGCGACCAACTTGACTACTAGGCACCATTATTTCTACTGTCAATCTAACTTCTTCATTGTTTGGAACAAAACCTTCATCTCGTAACTTGTCGAATATCATTCCTTGAGCCTGTATAAAAGCAACAAATTAATATTTGAATAGTGATGACAAGGCTTTGAAAAAAAAAAATTTAAAAAAAATTTAATTCATAACATGAAAAAAGCAAATAAATAAAACCTAAAAATGTTAATAAATGTCCTAGGAAATATATTTTATAAATCAAATGTTTAAATTAGTGGCGGTTTTGAGAATGATCCAGTGAGGGAAGTTATTTAAAGAATTAAAAAAAGTATTTGTTTGAAATTTGAAAAATACAATTATCAAGTCAAATTAATAGTTTTCAAGTAGGTAACTAAAATTAATTATATTTATAAAATTCAACATAAATAATGAATAGGAATGGTTAGGTTAGGTTACATATATATATTTTTTTTAATGTATGCAAAATAAACCATGAAAATCAAATTAAAAGATGACCGATATCACCAACCAACATCAACTATAGTATTTATCGGTCTCATCAAAACYGTGGTATATTATACTATATTATGCTGATTGATTTGGTATTAGTTCCAATATCGTTATAGTACTATAGTTTATGAAATGTACATTAACAATATTTAAGAAGACGCCACACCCGCATGTGTTGTCTCCATCTTACAAACGTATAACATATCAAAATCTGTTTAGYGCGGGACAACTTTTCTCCCTCAATATTTATAATAGAATTTTCAAAATTTCACAACSCATAGGTAAAAACTTTATCTGTGTCATAGCGTCGTTATTTTTCTTGATAGCACAAATCAATAATTTTAAGTAATTTAATGAAAAAATAAAAATAAATGTATTTTCTTAAGCTGATAACTTTAATTATATTTATGTTATCAAAAAAATAACGATGCTATGACACACATAAAGTTCTTACCTATGCGTTATGGAATTTTGGTAATTCTACTATAAATACAAAGGGAGTAAAGTTGTACCGCGCTAAACAGATTTTGGTATGTTATATGTTTGTAAGACGGAGACAACACATACGGGTGTGGCGTCCTCTTAAGTGTATATTATATMATATTACATATCTTATTATTATTTATATTACACACACTATGTCAACATGACTATAATAAAAGACTGCACACACAACTTCTTACACTATTTTGTTACATTGAATTAATCAATTCACCTTAGACCCATTTTTATTTTTTTACACACATTCTTAATTTTTTTTTTTTGAGGGGGGAGGAGGTAAAGATGTGAAACCATCAAAAGTTGTGGTTTTACTTTCTATTAGTGTAAATGAATTGGTTAAACTACCCACAGTATAAAAATACATGTCATTAAGTGAATAAAGAAAAGAAGTCATAGAATTCCAAAATATAGAAATTATGGTAGAAGTTATTACCTTCCATTGGGAATCAGCAGTACCAACAATTGTCACTTTTCGGCTAGCTTGTTGTGCACTGTTTGCGTCACCTGCATTACCTATTACTCCTTGTTTTTCATTTTCTGTGGATGCAACTTTGACTGATGCGCCACTAAATCTTATCATATTACGGATATTAGAACCCTTAGTACCAATTATAGCACCAACAGCACTGTTTGGAATAAACAAAAATGCTGTTTCCTAAAATGAAATAATATTATAAGTGTTAAACAAAAATAGATTAAGTTTGATAAAAATTTAATATATTTAGTTAAATTTGTATGTTTACTTGTACATCTGCAGCCAGAGCTGGATTAATTGGCGGAATGGTGGATGGATACATGGGAGGATATGGTGCTGGTGCAAATTGTTGATAATTAGTTGGACCACCGCGGCCTGGATAAGTTATACCTGTTGCTGACATCATTGCCATTGGATGAAGTCCAGGGAACATAACAGTTTGAGGCTAAGCAAAATTAATTACATGTAATGTAATGTAATGTACTATAAACTATATCAGGTGCTATTTAAATAACAATTGAAGAGTAAATACTTACAGCCATCGATTGTAGATCATTTTCAAAACTCTGTCTGAGCTTTGCACTAATTTGAGCCTCTGCTTTAGACATATTCTCTATTGAGCCTTTGACAGTAATTATCCTTTCGTAGTTGAAGCTGTTGATGTCATTTATGCTATAATTATTTTGAATTATTGATTACTATCTAATTTTTACAAACATGAGCATGTTTGTATTTTTACTTACCTAGATACAGTAATTTTTGTTTCAGTCTCAGACATAATTCTCTTGATCGTATTACCCTCCTTTCCAATTATTCTACCAATCAGATTATTATGAGCTAAGATCTTCAGTATCACATCACTAAAAAATTATAATTAAGWAATTTATATTGTAATTTTATGWGACATATTATTTTTCATATTTCATAAAATGAATTAGTAGGTGACAATTTAATTTATTATTAGTAATCACCTTTTATTAGTGTTGGTTGCTTCTTGTTGCATGACCTCCAAAATTTTTCGACATGCATTAGTGCAATTTTCAGGGTTACCATAGATTGTTATAGCTTTTTCCAAAGAGCCAACATTGTCTTTTCTATGAACATCAACTCTAAAACATTTTTATTATTTAATATATTAATTATCTAATTTAAAACAATAACAAMTAAACTTAACCAAACTTTCTTTTTCTAAATTAATAAAATTATACTTAATCACATATATTATGTTACCTGGCTCTTGTCTGTTGTGTTATTTGTCTGATTGTAGAACCACCTCGACCAATAATTGCACCAACCATATCACTGTGCACTAGTATACGCAACGGAAACTCTGTTTGTCTATTACCAATAGTAGGAGTAGCGCCAGGAGCACCATACGTTCTTTGTCTTATCGCACTACGATTTCTCCTTTCCATGGCTGGTTCGACTTTTACCTGGCAACCCTCAAGCTCTAAACCTGGCAAATTGGCTAATGCACTATGAAAATAAGATACATTTAATTAGTGTATGACAAATGTATAATTACTATGTATTGTATCACATACGCATTTGGCATTGGAAATTAAAAAGAAAAAAATATGAGCGGAAGCTAACAATTTCACTCAGTTACAAAAGGTAACATTAGGGAAATTAATCTTAGTCCARGAGTGTCTAGTATTTGCGTGATGGGACGGGATTGTRGGTCATTTTATGCTCACTTGTGTGCTTGTTCGGTGGATTCAAATGTAATCTGTATGACCTGCGTAGGTCCATCGCGTTGACTGAGCTTCTCGATGTCTTTGACCTGACCAAACTGCAACAATATCTGATCCAACTGTTCGAATCGAACGCTGCTGGGCACGTTGCTGATCACGATTTTGTTGGTGCTGTAACGAGAACGAAAACGAGACTGAAGATTATTGAGTGTCGGTACGAGTAAATCAGAAGACAGTGGACCACGTGWGTCCGCCGCGTCGTATATCATGACGTGTTATACCATCGTGTCGAGGGTGCRGGAGGATGACGGACAGCGGTGGTTCGAAGAACATCGAGCGTGTACCGAAAATAATGGTCGACATWGTTGCGAAACGACGTCCTCCTCCGTCACCGCCACCGCTACCACCACGAGCTCCACGACTAGCCGCAATACTAGTAGTACTACACCTCCCAAATCAGTAATTCATCATCTGCCCCTACACTGCGACTGTTCGTTATCTACTACAGTCCCGCATGACTCTGGGTCGTTGTCCTTTTATTGTTGTTTATTTATTAGTTTATTACCATTGTTATTATTATYGTAATGACGCYAATCGATATTACTACTACCACGACGTAGAATAACGTATTACTATTTACTACGTACTACTGTACTAGAGCACTACTTCTACACTTGACAGTTGTTGTAGACTAATTGTAGTACTGTCTAATGTCTATTATATTATTAAAATATATAATACATTGTTGTTATACACACTACACGATTATCGTGGACGATTCAACGATTATTATAATATAATTGATGTTATTTTATGAAGTTTGTGTACAAAAATATCGTAAACGATATCGTGTGCAAGTGTGCGTGTGTTTGATTGTGTTTCTGTGTAGGTACTATAGGTGTGCGTTACAGGCTTACAGCGTTAGAGTTATCGTTATTGGGTTTTCGATCTCGCAAACGTTGGCGCCCGGCGGTCCGAAGGAAGAGACGAAATACGAATTACAGGGCGGTGGGAGTGTWGGTGGCGGCGCCGAGAACACCGTCCGACAGTGTTGCCATGTCGTCACTGTCGCAAGCACCCGGCGTTAGCGGCCAGTTAGTGTACACGTTGCCGGTGTTATTTTTTTCACATAGCCAGCCGCGCCGCGTCGGACCATCGTGCTCGACAGTGTGACCGCCTAATGTCGATTCCAGAATCCAGAACTCTCCCGTTATCAATCAATTGTAAATTGTATTATATTAATGTAAGCAGTTTTGTAATTTCATTGTTAATTACATTAACATGGAGTAAAGGAAATACAATTAAATAAGTGTACTAACAAGATTAACTAAATGAAAACCCACTGTCAAAGAATTGTATAGCCTTCTCCAAGTAGCGGACCGAAATCTGAATCGATCGACAACGAAATAATATTATAACGTGGTTGTAGTAGTAGACAGCTGCTGCTGCTGCTAGGATAGAGTACGATTTTGTACGGCGGTGGTGTAGTGTACCGTATTAGTAGAATACTCTGTATTCGGCAGCCCCTCCCCCCGTTCTCGGCATGGCGGTATCGGATGTCGAATAAGGTACCCGGCGACAGCCACCGTCCTTTCCTTCCGTAGTACCTACTGTCGGTTTACACACATGACACATTAGGTAATGTGTGATGAGCAAGAGAAATATTGTACAATTTTGACATGACAATATCGAGAGATTCGAAAAGTCGTCAGGAAAGACGATATCTGGTTTCATGTTCGTCCATAATAATGCAATTTATTATAGGGAAAATTTGCTATTTTATCAAGACGGTATAAGTCACCCACAAATCGACTGGAAAAAACACATTGAATGATTTTCTTTTAAAGGTATGCGATAAAAACAATTTTAACGGTAATGGACACACATACTCGAATGGGTCGTGGGAGGAATGAAATTATTTTTAAACTACGGTGTTTCATAATTAATTGTACACCTTTCGACAATGACGCAGACGGTTTACTACTCCAATACTTCACGGAAAAAAACCGGTGGATGCAATCCAGRTTATTGATGACTACCCCAGTATAAAAATGATTACATGCAAATGTATGTGGGCATAACTCTAAATGTTGCACACTGGCTCATGCAATAAATGATACAAAACGGGTAGAATAAAGCGAAATTTGAGTGAAAGTGAAAATGTTTAAGCACCAGCTCCACYCCTCTTAAGCGTTATATGTAAGATCAGATTAAAAAACCGATCAAAGCCACCTAAATTGTTCCTAAAATGACCATCAAATATAACATTGTCAGCTATATAAGTATCACGTAGTATAAGGTTTTTTTTTGTATATAAATTACCCGCCTCGAGACCCTCAACAATTGACGAAACGTGAAAGCTTTTAATTCAATCAATATAAAATAATATGATCGTTCATTACGATGTCCGAAGATTGCATTGACTTTATATTGAAATACAGTAAAACCTCTCTATAACGGTTCCTCTATTAAACGGAAACCTCCATATAACGGAAAATGTTAATAGTTCCGGTGCAAATAATATATAAAATTTCTATTACCTCAAATGACGGAAAGCTCTTTATAATGGAAAAATATTTGGCCCCATGCTATTTCGTTATAGAGAGGTTTTACTGTATTACATTATTTATTTTTCTTGAAAGAATTCTATGCGAGTATGCAACTTATTCGCCAACATAAAGTTTAATTGACAAATCACGGACACTAGGTTAGTGTTATGTTTAAATAACACGAAATCTGTTAAGTCAACCTAATCATTTAATAAAATGTTAATGATTTTTAACTTTAAGCTATCAGCCCAACATAAATTAAAAAATATACTAGTGGCGTATATAATACAAATTACATATTGTGCAGATACCTAACCAAATCAAAACGATTATTAACCCAATACCGAAATATTGAAATTGCATCATAACACACCAACCAATATGTCGTTATATTAGTACAGTAGAACTTCTATTATCTTAACGTTATTTCATTTCAATTTATGTAAGTATCCGAATATTTATCTATGTATAAAATTGTATGACGCATACATCCGGTAGCAGCTTATTAACGTGTATCAGTCATTTGTCAAATAAAAATTAATCAATTTGTAAAAAACAAATAATAACAAGTCTCTAATATTTAGTAATATTCTTATATTCGTAGTAACTAATAACATAATGATATGTAATATGTAATAGTAAATATAATAAGTAGCGATAATATGCGATAGTAATTCATCTATATTCATTGTACAAATAATATTTTTTCAAATTTCTATTATCTGGAGTCTGGACTTTCGCCTATCCGAACTCAGTGTGATCAATTTGTGATGTAATCAGTTCGGATAATCGAAGTTTTACTGTATATGCTAACAATATTTAATTTATAATTGAAAAATACATAAATGATACCAGGAGAAAATAATTTAACGTGCAGTTATTGTAACAGATGAGTGAAACTCGAAGTTCAATATTTTGTACCATTCCGTCTGATGAAAAAGTACATACCCTGCCAATAAGAGAAAAATAAAAATCGTTGCCATACGCTCAGTTATTTTGAAACGTATGGCGTATTCATGGCGAACACGAATATAAAAAACAAGCATTATTACAATAGGTACCTATATATTATTAAATTCATTGATTATTACTTATTATGGAATAAAGTATATACCTACCATTATCATAATGTATGTAATTAAAAGTCCGTAATTTAATATACTTTTGATATTACTTTTTAATCATATAACATCCGGCTGACATCCTTAATATATTATTTTTAACCTATAATTATATAATATGTAAGTCGTTGTAAACAATTGCCACAGCGGTCGTAATTAAGCTGATATAATTTATAAATACGAAATAAAGGCTTAAGGCAGCATAAAATAGTATTGTTGTCAAGACAATGTTTTAAAGCGTCGTTTGAAGATTATCGAAATCACAATATTATCTATCGGGTTATCTAGAGTGGCGATAAATGCGCACCACTATACAGTACACACATACTCATGAAGATTTTTTGTATTAATGGTATCTACTATCTACGATGTTAATCGTTAATTTATTTTTTAAATTATTCTTAAAATACAAATCGGCACGCTGCAGCTCTCAACACACGTTCATATTATTTCGCCACCAACATAAATAATTTAGTTCAGACAATAATTTGTAAACCATTCTCCTATTGGTCCTTACCAACACAGAAGCTAACRCCACGAGTTTTATATTCTTTCGAAATTGTTTCCGATTYTCCGATGATAACCGGTAACGTCTCTTGTAACCTGACAATTCGACCGCTTTACTTCAATAACTACTCATGCATGTAGATCAAGGAGTGATAGGTATTAAGATGGGGGTGGCCCTGTAGTGTCGATAAATTCGATTTACAATTGAAATTTAAAATTAAGGCATTCGGGAGCTACTAAAAAAACTCGTAAATACTCTCCACTTGAGACGAATTGAATGATAACTAATTAATAATTATTAATTAGCCATTATTTTAGTCACGTTCAAGAGTAAGCAACTCTCGTATAACCAGAACAACGAATTTTGAATTTTACATTGGTATACTCCACGAAAGTTGATCAATACATCCTATAACATTTCTCAACCGCTCGTTTACTTAATAACTATATAATAGTAATTAGTATTAGTATATTACTATATGGTAAGTCAATAATATTATGAAATACAAAATGTGTTGATTTTAGTAGGTATAGTAATTTGTGTACATTTTGCTCCACCTGAACATTTTTAATATGATACATGCAGAGGCGAGAGGCTAATCTTCATACTACGCGTCTACACATCTGGATTAATCGCTCATTTATAAATTATAAAAACAATTCACATTGAATTGGTCGATTATTCAATTATTTATACATTTTTTAGAGAAAATTTATAAATTATATTATGATATTATTCAATAATCACACCAAAAGGCAAAATTTTGTCATATATAAAGATATATCATGTTTATTTTAAATGAATTAGAAATACATTTTATAATAMAAAATGTGATATTGTGATCAAATAACTATAAATGGTCACCCCTTTATAACTGGAGAATTTGAAATCCACAAAAGATAATAATATAAAACAACTCGGCAAAGTACCAATATGAAAAAAAAACATAATAKGTAATATTGTTGAAAATTACTACCGCGTCGTATATTGGTG